AGTGTGTTAAGCTGCAGCCATTGGGTTTTTGTCCTGATTCTCTGTGCTACCACGATTCATCTTCAATATTTCTTCTCTGCTGGCCATTGACTATGTTGTTTCTGCTCAGGAGTATCAAACCTTTCTCTTTCTCAGTTCCTTGTAACTCTGGCAGAGGGAATTTCCACGCATTCCCAGAAATTTTGGAGGTGCCGGGGAAGTCAGGTCCTTCTGAAACTTGCAGAGAGGAGAGTCTGTATTCCCCTGACATAGGATGCTAACCTTCTGTGCATGAATGCAAAAGAGACAGTGGACAGCCTTATGTGTATTTTGATAACTGTGTGAGGCCTGAAGTAACTGGGTCCTTGGGCTTTGCTTTAATAGACTTCCTTCTAGACTCTCCATGAACAGTAAGTTACCGTTACCTCATACAGGCTCTCAGAGACTCTCAAGGAAGACAGAGCCTCTCTTTACAGTGAGAAATATTGTGAGAAGTGACTGCGCCCAAGGACAGAGAAGAGCAAAGTAGTGGTTTTTCTAGTAGATTTTACCTAAGGATGTTTTCTCTCTTGAATCTAGAATAATGGTTCTCTCTGCAGTAAATGTTCTAGTTTACCTTTTTCTTTTAGTCAACAAGTATGTTACTGTAGGTGAGAGTATCTTTGAATAATTTCCTCCACTGAACTTGAAGAAGGAACACCCATAGGTTCCTAATTTCTGTTTTCCCTTAGTTTAAGACAGGCAAGATATCATGAGTAGATGGAATAATATCCAAATTTGAGGAGTGCTCAAGAATGAAAACACTTGCAGCTACTGAGAGAAAACCATGCCCTCCTTCGACTCGACTGCAGGGAAGAGCATATTGAGAACAGCTTGTTGTTTGAGAATCTCCTAATTGTTATTATTCTATCAGTATGATTTGTATAGTCAACAAAGTACGAATAGGACCTTTGCTGATTATATCTCTTTGTTTTGATCAAACAGCTTCTAAATAAAGCGTAGTGTACTGTTTTCTAAACTCCTAGAGTTTTACCACAATTCATTGTTCCCTTCCATACAGCCTTCTTCAGCCTCTGATCCTTTCTAAAAACTGAACCTAGAGAAGTAGAACAGTGCTACTGCTGTCACTCCCCAAACAGGACTGCTTTTCAGATCTGTGAACCCATCATCTTCTCCTTAACTAGTTGTGTGTCCTTAGGCCTTGTGACGCTCTCTTAACAGGCACTGAAATTCAGCATGTCTTATACTGTCATTCCATCGAGTTTCCTCCTAAGTCTGTTTCTCCTATAGTAACCCCTGTCATCAGTTGACTGTGTATTCTTTATGACCCCCTAAGAAACCTTGGAGCCTTCAATATCCTTTTAGCTTATCTCCAGTGTCCATGTGATTACTCCATTTTCTGAGTATGGACATTCTAGGGAAGCTGGTCTTCTATTCTCCTCGTGAATGCAGGTAGTAGGTAGGGACCCATTTACCTCTGAAGTCTTCTGCGTGAAAATGCTTTCTTGCTTCCAGGTTCCAAATCCTTAGCCCTGTTCCCAGGAACGGTGCATTTACTTCTTTGGGTTGCCATTTCTTTGTTATTCTAGTAGTCATGACAATATTTGGTAATTTTTTTTTGCAGATCTGGTTCTCCTGCTCATATATGAGTATCATTAAGAGTTAGAACCCAGTTTGTGCGTATGGTCAGGTCTGGCAGATATATAAAACAAGCATATAGAGGCTAAATTTAATTGACTTGAACATTTAACAAGGTACTGAAATAGAAGAGGCAGCCAATTAAATGATGCTTATTGTTTTTTGTTTGGATCAGTTTTTAAGCCTCACCCCTCCCCTATTCTCTCTTTGGTGTTCTCTTAGGGAAAAAAGGCACATGAAAGGTTCTGTACCATAAAAACAATTTAAAATGCAAACCATTCTGTTCAGCAGATAGAATAAGCTGGTTGCATTGGTGAGTATTTTCTGTCTAAATGCAATTATTTAACTTCTTTAACATTAGGAATAGAAATGAAGACTTCACAAAATACAATTTATGGAGAATAGGCATTTGTCTGAGGGTTCTAGTTTTCCAGTACTGTTCCCTGAACTACTTTTGAGTGACTCCAGGCAACGTCTCTATGGTGGGGATGAAAGTATCTTACATACGTAGTAAAACGAAGTTTCTGACATAGAATGATCTTGTTTTAGGGTGAATTTTTTGTCGCGCTTCTGATTCCACATGGTAATGTCTAATCCCAGTGTGATGATTGAGATAATTAGGTCTGCAAGGTGACTACTAATCGCCTTACGAGAAGAGCCCACATAGTAGCTCACTCTCTTTTTTCTACTATGTGAAGCACAGGGAGAAAGGTGACTGTCACCTTGGAAAAGAGGGTCCTCACCCACCCATGTGGCACCCTACTCAGGATTACAGCCTCCACACTGTGTGAGATCTAATTTCCCGTCATTTAAGATACTCCTCTATATAGGATTATCGCCACCAGAACCTAGGAGCCCATAATTAATGTTTACGTTGAATCTGAATCTTATATATACGTTGGCTTGGATCTTGAAAAATCTTTCTTCTAAGTGTTAAATGAAGTTATCAACTGTTAAGGATAATATGAAATGTTTCCAGACTGTTTTCAGTAATTTCTTTATTTCAGGTTAGTAACTTCCTTTTTTGGTAACAATTATGAGTATTTACTTCAGTTGATGGTTTCATTAAGACAACTGCACTGAATTTTTTTTTCATTTAAAAAAAAATTTCAATCTCCATGTTTTGGATAATATTGAAAATTAAGGGTGTCCTTCTTTAAAAATCTTGGTAATTAAATTTAGCAGTTTCGTTTGGGAGGTAATTAGTTTTCATCTTGGAGTCAACGACAAAGGTGTCAATTCTCATATAAAACCTTTCCACTGATTTTTCCCTCTCTCCATTATATATTCTCCTTGACGAGAGGCTTCTTTTCTACAGCACAGCTGCTTATATCAGCGAAGAACATTATGTGTGATGACCCGGTGAGTACTACGGGAACATCAGACGATGCAGAGCATATTGCTCCCTTGCCGCATATCTTTACAAGATGTAGGAACACCAGATCTCAAGCATTGAATTACAGCTTGCCTAACAGTGGCATGGAGCCTGGAAACGCATGTACTACCTCAGAGCGAAAACAGCCTCCATCATGGGCTTGCAAGTTGAAGGAAGGCAGAAGCTTGTCAGAGTGCAAGCTTTCATCTTTTTTTTTTTCTTGTTTTCTTTAGTCTACCGTTCATTTTGTGGTAGTAGCATACAGCACAAAACATTCATAGTTAGTTCCTTTGGCTGTAAATAAATCGTATTTTCACTTCTTTTAAGGCTGGATTTCTAGCACCCCACTTTTTTGAGAAGAAGCTTTCCTAGTTTCACAATTGTTTCCAAGAAAATGAGTGTATTTAAAACGTATTATTAGAC